AGAAGGAATGATCAAAGATACAACACAGCCTCCGTATCAGGAACAGCTAAGTAGAGTACAATTCTTCAGGCTGGAAAGGAAGGGGCATCCTGGAGACCTCGAACAAAGCTCTAATGATATTATGACCATTGAAGAGAAGAGAGCCTGGTATCACAGAATTTACATTTTTTACTCATATCTAAATAACTCAAGATTCTTTTCATGTCATGGACTGTGTTTTTACAGATACCTGCCACTCTTATCTATCCATATAGGCTGTAAAAATCTCAGTGTAGGTTCTGACCATGGAAATACGGATTTTGGCTGCTCAATCTGCATAGCTCATACTTGGCTCTAACTGACCATGCAATGACCTGGTGATGGCAAAGCACACTTCTGCTCTCTTGACATTCAGTTTTGGAGCAGACTGTGCTTGCTGGGCTCACAGTGAAGTTGATCTATCACTTGCGGCTTGTTTCGAATGGAAGAAATCAATTGCCTATTGATTTGTGTTATCACGACCATAGATAACCAAGCCTCCTTGTGTCCTTTGCAGTAGCTGCTCTATTACATGGTAGACTTGGTTTAAATTAGCCAGGTTGATTTATAGCGCTTCGAATAAGACTGAATCAGAACATATTTGAAAGCTCTTCTTCGTGCCCTGTCTCAGAGATCTTTTTGCTCACATATCATCTAGCACATGAGGGCTCTGCCATCGCACCCAGATTCAGGAGGCAGAACTTTGGTCATAGCAGCATGGGAATATTGCAATCCTCAGAACAATAACTCATTTACTGACTACCATTTATTTTGGTAGTTATTTTTAAATTAATAAAACACTTCCTATATACATTTCCTTGGACTGTTCTTATCCAGGTATTCTGTGTGTATGTATGTATTTTTGTTCAGACTTGAGTGTGTTTAGGAAGCACAAAATTGTGTTGGGGTAGTTGTTTCTGATTTGAGTGCTTCGTCAGAGGTTGGAGGAGGTGCTTTACAAGCACAGGTATTGCCACAGAGACCACCATCTCTCACCAGCCTTTTTCCATCTGTAACCATGTTACACTTCTGTGCAAATACTGCAATTGTCTACACAGAAAGGTAATTTTATGAGAGCATTTTTCGCGTCTATTATTGTAATTTTAGCTGCAGGAAGCATGGGGGAGAAGCCAACACCTTGTAAACAGCAGTTTTCTGGAGATCACCAGCAAGCTATGGGAAACGGCAGCAGATGATGGACTCATTCCAGTGAAAAACTTGAAAACAGAAGCACAGGTTCCTCTTCAGATTCCAGCAGAATGGCATTTAGTACATTTTTTGTTGTTAATAAAATCTGTTATCTGCATTCCTCCATATTTCTTACATATTAACGTTTTCTTTTTGCATGACTGCCACAAACTCTTTATTCCTAAGTTGGTTGGTACTTTTTTTTCTGCAAGACCTTAAAATATTTGTCAGGCAAAAAGTACTGCGAGTGGCAGCACGGCAAGGAAGCCACAAAAAGCAATCACTAGAGGTGTGGTTTGCAGGAGATAATTACAAACCCCTGCAGGGCTATGAGGTACAGTCGAGTGCTTCTGGCACAGTGATTATCGCATGGAGGTGCCTTATTGTTATTATGAATTTCTTTCAGCCCAATATATAAATAATTTATGTTAGCAAATTACTTTGATCTCTGATGGAAACTGCAAGTTGATGTTAGAAACTTCCAACTGGGAGGTTCACACGCATTAACCTATTCATGTATAATGGCTAAACACCAATCAAAAGACTCCCTCCATCTAGGCAACTTCATAATTTCATTACATTTAAAGAGGATGCGATGCAACAAGACATAAATGGCATAGACAGCACTGGTACCACTTCTTCAGCTTATAAAAGGCTATTTTAGGTCCTATTGAGAATCTGGTCTTTCAGAGAAGACTCTGAGTGATTCCTGCTTGTCTCATGTTCCTTCTTCTACTCATCACTATTCATTTTGGCCTTGATAACTGTTCTAATGAGCTATTGAGAAAAATGTTATTTATGCAGATTACTCTCATTCACACTGCAGAATCTCTAGCAGTAATATCTGTCTTCTTAATATAAATATTCTCCATATTTTTCATGTAAAGGGATACAAAAAAGTTGATGCTTGCCTTCAAAATAACCAGTCACAACACCCTAAGTTTTTTTTTTTTTCTAATTGAATCTAAGACTCCAAAACAGTCAATGGAAGAATAAAAACACACAGTAGGGTTTCCAAATCCAGTACCAGGTCTGGTACTCTCTCTTCAGAGATACACAGTAGGATGTGATTCTCTAATTCTAAGCAACATGAAGTGAAAATCCCACATCCGTGGGGTCCAGTTAGTTTTGAGGCCATTTCATCCTGTGTCTACTTACAGAGACCTCACATCCAACAGATTAGTTATCCTGGCATGTCAGCAATGAATACGAAGCCCCTAAGGCGTCATTCTAACACTAGCAGCAGAATCACATGGATGCAGAAAAGGGTAATGTGGACTGGCCATAACTTCATTAGCAAGTGGGCAGAATTAGCGACCCATGTATGTAGCCATGACCTACAACTGGGAAAATATTGTGTGTTTTCCCCCACCACTACAAATAAGGAACATACTGAGCAAAGGAGAAGGAGATACTGATTTGTTGGGCTCCCTTTTCTCTAAACATGAAAATTTATTCTGCAAAAGTTGTCTTTAACCTTACCAGCTTCAAGGGCATTATAGTTTTGATAAATACATGATTTAAGAATAAAACAGAAAATTTTAGCCCTGCAATAGGTGTCAGGCAAGAAAGAAAAACTTTTTTCTTAGACCTGCAAATAAGGAGACAGATGACCCACAACATGAAGATGATTCTGCCACAGTTAGCAAAGGAGTGGGAAGTGAGCAAGAAGTTCTTAAAATCCAGTTTACATAAACAGGCTAGAAATAGATGGTATAGGAGAGAAAGGAAAAGGAGAACAGGAAAAAGACAGAAAAGCTGCAAGGA